CTGTACTATTTACTAGGCCTATAAATAATAACTAGCCAAGGAGATTATCTTTTGTGTTATTTCCCCTTAACGTCGTTTTTTAAATTGTTCTCTAATTCCTCCATTGTCCAAGTTCCCCTTAACGTACAGGTAATAATAATAATACTTATTATTATTATCATTTCGGCATTACATGTAATGAACTTGGCCTAATATTAATAACTAGCTCATTTTTACATTCATTTGGTGCTCTGCCATTTTGGCAGGTCTTATGGCATCACTTTAGAGCTGCCTATTCTCAGCTCTTCTCTTAATTTGAAAATAACTGTCACTCTGTTTCATTTGATCAGTGATGAAGAAACGCGCTCTTCCTTACTCTCTGTGCTTTTCCCAGAAGCGTTTTTAGTAGGCCTTGGTAATTACGCAAAACCCAGGCCTAACTAAAAAATTAAAATTGTCATAGTATGCAACTCAAGTTAAAATAACACTTTTCATTACTCGTGGAGCTTAATCAAATATTATATGTAATTTTAAAACGACCCATTGGTATTAACATGGTAACATCAATGTATTTTTAAAAATTAGACAGCGACGTTCTCTAAGAAGTTGTTCTGTGTAGACGTTTATCTTTGACCTTTTGACCTCCTGAATTCTGCAATGAGATTTTCGGGTCGATTCAGCCGAGACGGCCCGAGTGGAGTTTCATGTAAATGTTTCGTACGGAAAAAAAAATCGCGGGCGGGTACTCAAGAGAGAGAGAGGAGGAAAAGTTTTTCATAACAAACATCATCACTACACTGTAGGTTCGTTGGGGCAGCATTGAAATGGCTTCTGTGTCAGCTCAGAGAGTAGTGTTTTTCGGAGCGGATAGGACCCCGCGTTTTATGACTGAAAACACGCACATTAATCTTGGAAACTTAGGGCCAGAAGAGATACTAATAAAAATCAAGCTAACTACGATATGTAGATACGACTTGCAGATTCTGCAAGGGAGATCAAAAGCGAAAACTCCGAGGTACGTTTCAAAATAACACACCCATGTGTGTGGATGATGTAGGTGTAGAGTAGCATCCGAAGTCAAGATCTTAAATTAATTTTATCCGTAGGGCCTAGATGGTAGGTTTCCCGGTAGCATCGCCGATATATTGTTTTGTCCAGGACACCTGTTTAGGTTTGTTGACTTTATCATGGATTAATATTTAATTGATTGCATAATATCAATAATGCATCTAACTCTAGGCCTAACAGTAACACCAGACACCGGTCGTTGAATGCAGGAAGTAGGCTCCTACAGTAGCTAGGCCTTGTTTGTGTAGGCGCAAACTTTGGTGCAATGTGATGCAATTAATAAATGGGGCTTGAGTCTTATGACTTATAAATAAAGGTGGTTACCTTTTGTTGTGAAATATGGTACTCATACCATAGACCTCCCAAAAGCCTAGCTGATTAAAAATAATCATTTTTGAATAGTTAAATAGTTGTTTTAATTATTAGTTTTTAAATTTCTATTTCATATACCTGTGAAAACTAAATAAAAAATAAACGGTATACAGTTATAACCATGGAGGAAACACAAAAGCAGCTTATAGATACATGCTGTAGTGTAGCGTTACTCAACCCGTCCGTGGTCTGAGAACCCACTTTGTGGTCCGCCGAAAATTATTGGTGGTGTGTCAAACCAAGGAGGTATTAGGTCAAACACTAAGGGTCGGTGGGTGGTCCGCGATAAATGTAAGTGGTCCGCCAAAGGTTGAGTGGTTTGCTATCGTATATGGCTTATAAATCCATGGAGAAGAACATACTATTTTAATTTGGCATTGCTTTCACACTTAGTTACACGTATTACTGCAATATTGGGTTTAGTTTATCGCCGTGGCTAGAGATACGGTACCGTACTTCTAATTCAATTTGCTAAATGTACTTTAAATAGCATTACATCACTATCACCCAATGAAGAGCCAGAATGTGAGATGTCATCTTTCAAGACTGTCATTGCAGATCGCCCACGATGAGTGGTGAAACGCGAATGATGTACTGGGTAAATTAGAATATTAAAAAGTCGTCGATAAAAAGTCGTATGGTTCCACTCGGTTAGAGTCATGTCATTTATCTATATATGGCCATTATCAAACAAGGACTGAATCCTGTACCAAACTCTTGGCATACTGTATGCCACTAGACCTTGCTTAAATTCTTTGCTTTGCGAAGAATCTAAGCAAGGCCTAGGAATCTAAGCAAGGCCTAGGCCTTGCTTGGATTCTTCGTTTGGCGGCAGTGAGATTTCAATCTGGGTGGTATATATCAGTTTAAACTAATTCCTCAACCCACAAAATCTCATCCCAAGTTTCAGTCCAAGAAGCCTAGGTTATAATATATTCAAAATTACCACGCTTTACAATCCGACCAACATATTCATACACTTTGAATGCACATGCATAACCGATACCTCCTTGATTTACCCAACTTTGTGTAGACTTTGTCGCTGTTACTTTCACCAATTGTAAACATCGTTCGTTCGGCCAGAATTCAGATCAATAGAATGAGTTTTCACAATCGTGATTATTCGTGTCAAATTTGTCGAATATATTTTGGTGCAGGCCCATTTAAACGGTTAAGTGCTAGTAATTACAGTTTAGAGTATATTCAGTTTTTTAGTGCATGTGTTCTCATGTAAATAGATTAGACCAAAGACTGAGTAGTATCAACTCTGTTATAAGTGAAGGCATATAAGCAAGCTGGCCTGGGTCTATGTAATGAGGATTCATGCCTTCCTTGATATGGCTATATAGATAAATGACATGACTCTTATTACTGAGTGGAACCCTTACACTGCACCTATTTATCGATGACAGTATTATAAGAAAATATTCACTCTTGCCTAGCTAATCATGTGCTAAGCCAAGTACTTATTCGCAAGTCATTCCACCCACCTCACACCATCTTTCAATGTGGGCGATTTTCAATGCCGGTCTTGAAATGTGACGTCATGCACATTCTGCCTCTTCATTGGGTGATGGTGATGTAATGCCATTTGCCGTACCTTTAGCAAATTTAATTAGAAATAGGGTACCGTATCTCTAGCCACAGCGTTAGTTTATCAGCATTGCTTTTTATTCCCAACTTGAAATGTTATATTGGTAATGTTCACATGCAACAGATGGAATAACAAATGTAAAGCCAAATTTTAAGAAAATATTTAGTGATGAGTAGACTCAAGGTAGTCACTAGAATTTTGAAAATGTCCATATTACTCCAGCCTTATTTTTTTTTTCTGTTGTCATCATTTGAAAATTTGTTATTTATTAATTTTAATTTTTGAGTTAATAATCAATTTCCCGATGACACATCTTTTAATTTTTTGCCTTTAACCTTCAGTGTTAGGCCTACTTCATCAAGAGATTTATCGACTATATTGCGCTTCAAAACAAGATTTAAAAAAAAATTGGGACTTCTAGATGGCTGGAAATGGCTGGGATGGGAAAACTAGGCCTATCATTGGTTTTCTTTTGATCCGACTGCAAGCCCGATGAGCTTTGGCAGATGGGGGGGGGGGCTTGACCAGACCGATTGGGGGCTTAAGCCCCTGCCCCCCCTGCTGGTGCCACCACTGTCTATGTGACACAACCACTGGCATAATTGATGCTCTCTCTTTGTCAATATAAAACACAATGACTGGACTGTGTCAGTATACTGTAGGTCTAATTAATTACTTTCAATATTAGTATAGGCTTGTGTAGAGTGGTCCGTACATTTTTTCATGGTGTTGAAGTAGTCTCAAGGCCCAGAAAGGTTGCATAATACTGCTGTAGTGAAAGTCAATCAATATAGTAATTCTCATGCGAGCAATTCAATTTCGGAGAATAACAAAGTAACAATTAAAATTTATAAATTGAGATTCAAAATACTAAAATGTTTCAAAGGTTGTCAACACTGTTGCTGTAGCAATAATGCCATTTTTAGATGATATTGATAATATTTCCTTATCTTTTAAGATTTTCATCTGGCTTCAAAACAAAATATTATATTCGGTGTTAGAAAAAATTCATCTGGTTTGGAGATATTTATTTTTTTTTAAAATTTGTATGTAGTAAATTTTCATTGGTTTAGCACAGTACTGTACTAAGAATTATACAAACATTAATTTAACATCATTATGATAATGTAATTATTAAATAAAAATAGATGAATGAGCCGTACTAGTCTGATGTAATAAACATTTAGTACTTTAAAAACTAGTTTATTTGACAGTACAGTACACTAGCTTTCGTGCACACAGTGCACTTCTTCAGGTGAATGTGAAGCTAAACATAAACAGTGTGGATAGGCAAAGTAAGCTAATGTATTCAATTAAAGTAAATATTAAAGATATCAAATTATACTTTACCACTTTAATTAAAATACAAAACAGGAAAACCTAGCAAAAATAATCATATGCACAAATAGTTACAATAATAAATTAATAAATATTTGTACACTTAATACATTATGGAAGCAATGATGAAATTTGAGAAGGATGAGAAAATTGAATGTAGTGATTATAACAACAGTGACTACCATTGAAAGTCTGTGTATGTCAAGTACAGTCATTGATTGCTTGTTATATTTTGTTCTGCTTGAATCTTTCCGTTCACACTAGTTGTGAATCTTATTCTATATTATTTTGATTAATATGCTCATTGCGCTAGTAATAAAACAAACTTGTATTTAACCTAAATTTTCTGCTTTAAGACGTGATTGAATGCATTGAAGCGTAGCAGAGTTAATCGTGCTTGCTCAAATAATCTCAAGCTCTTGTTGTTGATCTTCCTTTCAACATAGATGTTTGCTGTTCAGAATAAATTGGAAGCAAAATTAACAGACAAAATGTGTTTTTGATGGAAAGGAACTGTAGTACTTTGCCCTTCACTTGACAAAGACACTATTTGAATAAGAGGAAATGAATGAATTTAACATTGATTGTCTGAACTCTATTTCTATTTTCAGTGTTGATGTGCTTATAATTATAATATACAGTATAACAATTATTATAATTATATTATAATTATAAACACATTTATAATTATTGTTATTATCATTAATTATTGTTATAATTATTGTTAGAGAGAGAGCAGCTTAGCTCAGTCCGCTAATCTGGTGGTAGCCGCTGTGGACGTGTGTGCGCTGAACCGTGGAGATCTCTAGGTCCCCGGTTCAATTCCTATCGCTGCCTCTCCTTGTGTTTCAGCTAGAGGGCTGAAATTCAAGTTACTAGCGCACTGTCTTTCGGATGAGGCGTTTAAGCCGTTGCTCCCGTGTGCATTATGGCCCATGTGCACGTTAAAGAATGCAGTACACTCTTCGGAAAAGAGTAAGGGATTATCTCCCGGTGTACTGCCCAATCACCACCAGAAGGACCCCACTTCTACACTTTCGTGGGCTATCCTTGGTGTTTACACCAAATAAATCCAATCCAATCCATCCTATTGTAATGTTGTTAATAATTGTTGTTATATTAAAGTAATTTGTTACGACATAGCTAAAAGAAAAGCATGGAGAGACATTGTATAGAAACCTTTAATAAGCAATACATTATTCCAATGTTTTAAAAGTAACATTTTATATTGATTATTCTGAAAAAATTGTATTTTGATATTTTTGCAGCGTGCTAGGACACGAGGCTGTAGGGGAAGTTGTCAAAGTCGGTAGCAGTTTGGATGATGAGGCTATCAAGCCAGGTGATCGTGTCTCCTTCAGCCTCTATGATTCTTGTTTTAAGTGCAAGTTTTGTCAGAGTGGATTCCATCAGAAATGTATCAGTGGTTTTATGGTATGGTATAATTGTCATACTTTTATAGCAAAAAAAAATACTTGTTAATTCAAAATTGTTGCAATGCTCTCACTGCAAGAAAAACAATATCTCATGCTTTGAAATACTGTACTAGCTTGGTCAGTGGCTGATTCCAGGGGAGGGGGACCGAGCTGGCCTGTTTCCCCCCCCCCCCCAAAAAAAAATGAAGTTTTTAAAATTATTTTTTAAAAATGGAGAAAAATGAAAATTATAAATATATTAAGTCTGATAGTGCCATTTCTGACCATTTAGAGGTGTAATAGTCATAAATTACCTCAGCCCCAACCATGGTGGGCTTGAGGTGGTCTGCACCCTCAGTCTGAGAAAATCCTTGTTTGAGCCCCCTCTATTTTGAATTCTTGGATCCGCCATTGTTGGTCTTATGTACAAATGTCGTAAGATATTATTTAATAATTTGGAGGACATGACATGTACCGGACTGACAATGAAGCCTGAAAGACGGGATAATTTTGGTAACTAAAACAATAATACATAATATAATCATGTATTTTGTCTTTGTCAGAATGCAACATAACAGAAAAAAATGAATAACAAATATTAAAGAAAGCTAACCAACTCCCAACAGGATTACTAAAAAGTGGCATTTAGCCTGTTGTTGAACTCTATAAATAACTTTAAGGAAAAAAACAATCAAATTTGACCATTCCAATTAGAAATACAATATTTGAGAAGAGAGATGTGTATAAGAGACAGGGGTATGGGAGGGGGGTGTCCCCTCCTCCCAAAACGAGATTTAAAAAAAA